AAAAAAAAGTGTTGACACCATTTTATAAAATTATGCATATAGAATTTTTAAGTTCTAGAGTTTGAGTTTTGTCATTTCTCCCATCTCTTCCCAAAACTGACATCAATCTCAAATAGGTTTGATAATTCTTTTCCGAGTTAACCTTAAGTGAGGGAAAACTACTGAAGCAGATTGTTCCATATTATTAAGAGTCACGGTTTTCATGTATAACAGGGAAAAAAGAGGAAAAGAAGGCTTTCTGCTGTTGAAAAGCATTAAATCAGCATCCAAACTCAGTCCTCAAGGGCCTCGGTCCTGCTTGCGTGTCCACGCATGCACTTGTGCAGCTGAACACAAATGCACAATTGTTTCAGATTGATATTTGCGTAAAGTTTAGAAAACAATATGTCATTTTCATTTCACTTTACAATTCTGTGCGACTTTGTGATCGTCTGTTGCATAAAATCTCAAAATACTGTAAATTCTAGTTTGTGATTCAAAGGTAAAATACTTTATCAAGGCACTGTGGATTTGTTTCTTGACAACAAACAACAAAATATCTGTGCAGCTCAGTACCGAACTCATAGAATATAATCTTAACAATAAAATTGAAGCAGATTATTGTATGTAGTCCTCGAGAGTGGAGTTAAGATATTTGAAACATATAGACAGAAAAACCATGCACAAATGACGACGAACTAATGACAAACTACCAAAACCATTTCCAGAAGGACGTTTGCATCGCTATTGAGAAATCGTCCCTGGAAGTTAATAAACCGGAGCGATTTCAGTCAACTAGATTGATACAATAACCTCTGAAAGTTGAAACCGGGTTGTTTGAAAACAGTGGCTGGGAGCTCACTTCAATTTCACAAGGACAACCATAGCACACAAATGGGCATCTTACACTTTGCTGGGCTTTAGAACACAATAACAAAAGAATTAGCAAGAAAAAATATATATATATCACGTACCAAATGTTCCATAGAATCCTCTAGGACCACATGTTCCGACTCCATATTTCTTCAAGGATGACAGTGCCTTTTGCTGCAATAATAAAATGTCATGTAATTAGACATGATTAACTGAACGTTATTTTACCCAACAGAAAACTTGTGCTCCAATCTTGAGTATGACAAGAATGTAGTTTGACAAGGATGAACGTAGTTGAAACACTGACCTTGACTCGTTCATTGTCCAGGAGACCCAGGAAGTTAAATGATGCAAAGTTAATGCACTCTTTTCCATTGATTATGATTTTGTGGCTGGGAGGTCTGTCATTCAAGATGTGGAATAAAATATGACAAGAAAATATCAAAAAAGAGATAATTTACATGTGGTTAAAAACAAAACAAAACAAAAAACCCAAGATGAAAAACATATTGCAATTGCAGTATCATGTTATCGCAGCATACTCAACATTCGAAATCAATCATCCACTAAATCAAAACACAAATGGAATGAAACAGACATACAATTTGAAAATCTACCAAAAGTCGGAGGGAGAAACATGGCTTTAAAGTTTGGACTTCAAATGAACCTTGGTACAGAGCATCAAAGGGTTGCCTCAGGCAAAATTATTTATTAGTTATTTATGTGAGGCTATGATCATTTCGCCCAACTAAAAAGGGGAAAACCTTTATCCTGATATGAAGTGATATGAAATCACGGCATTGTGTGCAAAGAGCCCAATTACAAAGAATAGAATCGCTTATAGCATCAAGTCTCAGCTGGCTAATTTTTTACCCTGTGACAACATCGTAGGTAATGTAGGGTGAATCTTTGGAAATCGTAGGAGCAAGAGGTTCAGGCTGCCACTCCTCAATAAGATCTTCCTTTTCCTGTTAAGAGCAACAAAGAATGAACCCAAAGTTCAAAGAAGAGTAGTCGAGTGACATGTGATTGCACGCATACACATGTACACGCATGTGTTACCTTTTCAGTCAGTTTATTCGTCTCATGGAGCCTGTACGTTTTAGAGAAGAGAAGCCTGATTATCCATAAAATGAGGATGCCCTCCAAAATGAGGTGATAAGATGGAGCCTGAGGAAGACAGTTCAAGATTATTTTGCAGAACTTTTCGCATGTCGATTTACTGATTTCAGAGTAGCTATTCAATACAATCGGGAAAATGGGGCAGTTACTGCCAATTAGCTATCACAACAGTTTTCTACAACTGGCTGAGGTGCCACTGAACGAGGCACATCTGTATCAATTGCTTCCTGGTTGTAAAGGCAGAATTTAATAGAGCTTAGCAATAGCTTGTTTGATGTATTTTTAAAATATGTTTCACATAAAAAAATAAAAATAAAAAAAACCTGCAAGTTTATTCAGGCATTCATTCAGATTGGGACTTATTTATTAGATGCTAGCATACTGTATTTGTGCAGTCCTTGAGTATTTTTGACACCACAGACATATTGGGTGTGGCAAAGTGAAGCAATTTTGTGAATGTCTCATTTGGTTGCTCCTTGGAGATATATCATGCCACAACTCATTGGATTAATATATTGCTTTTGATTGTGTTC